CAATTGCCTGCAAAGATCATTGGAGCATTATTCGCGCCGACGTTGTTGACAGAGGGCCGAGTATTGAAGCCTGCAGAAATTATGGGTGACATGGAGCGTGATCATGGCATTAAGCTCAAATACAATACAGCTCTGAGGTCTCAAAACGCCGCCTATGACTTCATTTATGGAGATCACAGGAAATCCTGGGAACTTTTGTCGGCGTATTTTCATATGTCGATGAAGTAAAATCCTGAAACATTGACATACATTGAGACCGATAAAGATGATGTGTTTGAGTATGCTTTCATTTCTTTTCATGCGTCTGCAGGCTTCCTCAGTTATTGTCGGCCCGTTATTGTGATTGACGGTACGCATTTGAAGGGTAAGTATAAAGGCATCCTATTTGTAGCAACTACAAAGGACGGAAATGAACAAATTTTTCCTTTGGCATTTGGTATCGGCGATAAAGAATGTCATAGTGCGTGGATGTGGTTTCTCCAAAAGCTTCGCTCCACTTTTGGATGTCCGGAAAATTTAGTGATTGTTTCTGATCACCACCCGAGCATAAAGTCTGCTATGGAGGTTGTCTACCCTGAAGCCGTACATGCCATATGTTCCTACAACCTTCGACAAAATATTCGAAGTCACGGGTGTAAAGCTGTTGGTTTATATATGAAAGCTTCATACACTTATTTTCTCGTTGTGTACGAAAAGTCAATGGCTATGCTTGCGGCAAAATATCCTAACACAAAAAAGGTTTTGATTGATGAAGCCATTCCAACTAGGTGGGCACGAAGTCAATGTCCTGTGAGACGATATAGTTTCATGACGTCAAATGCTTGTGAGGTGCTTAACATTAGGTTGCGTTGGGCAAGAAAATTGCCTGTTTGCTCATTGTTTAAATGTATTCAAAACATTATGCAAGAGTGGTTTCACAAAAGACGTGTCGAGATAGAAAAGACTGAGTGTGAAGTTCCTCCATCAATATCTAGCGTTTAATGGATTATTAAACCGAAGCGGACCAAATGGAAGCTTCAAATATCAATCACTACGTTTACCACGTGAAGGACGGGGTCAAGAATTTTGTAGTCAATTTGAATGATCGAACTTCCACTTGTTATCTCTTTCAGGTGGATTTATTGCCCTGTTCACATGTGATTAAGGCTATCGGGTAATTTTTTCATTTTTTTTTATTTAATAAAAGCCTCGACGTTTACATACATATTGTTATCTTACACATAAGAAAATGTTATATTGTGTTCCATTATTTTGTTT